CAAGCACAGAATAACTAGATAACTTGTTGCCTCAATGCATTGAATAAACCTGGAATAAAGCACTAAGTCAGAACGAATACTATTTCGAGATAAACTTAGTCTAGAACACAAATAACACTGGAATAACTGAACAGCTGCTACTTGGCACTGAGATAACTGACTAGATCATGCAGTGATCAAAGTAATACAGTTTCAGACCGATGATCGATCATGATCAGTGGTTACACCCTCAAGATACTATGCAATCTGTAGTATTGAATGGTGTACCACATGGTGAGCCATGAAAGAGGAGCAAGGGGTTCCTATGGACTACAAGGGCACTCCTCATCAATAGAATAACCCATAGCCATTCCGTCTAACTGAATAGAAACTGCAGAAAGGCACAATCCTTATAAATTAATTACTCACTGTTTGTATTGATACCTAAAGCTCATACCATAATTATTTTAGATATCAGCTCCTATACCTAGACAACAAATTGTATAAATTAGCAGTGACTAGATGCATAATGCCAGGAAAGTATTCCTCCCACATTTGTGCTAGTAGCCTTATAGCTACTTAATCAATCACTGGTTTTTAAGTGCATATTCTCGACTGAAGTGAATTTAAGTTTACCAAGTCAACCCAAAAGGGCGGCTACAGTAATCTAGAAGAACTAAGAAGGAATAAGAGTCATCCTGGCATTTGCACTTTGCTAGTTCCTAGAACTGCTCCACATCCAAAGGCCTCACGCTCCAAAGCCAACTAAAGTAATCTAGACATGCTAAGTTGACCACAGACCAAAGACATTGCCTAGTTGAAGTGAAATAAGCCCTAGAATGCTTTAAGTTTGAACAGTTGACAAGTCAGGGTACTCTAGAGTCAAGGACTCTTTGCAAGTCACGTATTTGAAGCCAGGACCTGTGTGTTCTTTGTAGAGTCAAGGACTCTTTGTAGAACTTTGGTTCTTTGTTGCAAGTGTGTGTGCTTGTATTGTAAATGAGTCTGTGTACTCTAAGAGCTATTGCACTCATTTGTAGACCATCTGGGTCTTTGATTGTTAGTTGTTGAAGTGTTCTCTAGTCAAGACTTAAAAAGCTCTCCTAGATGAAGTCAATTCAAGTCTGAACTGCTTATAATTGTATCCTACCAACCCCATGTTCATATACCTCACTACCGTGACTAGTGTATCTCATGTAAACACCTTTAAAATTGAATTGAAGCTACCTTTGAACAAACCCAATTGATTATCGCTATCTAAGTACACCACGAGTGCTTCTACTGTACTCACCCTTGAACTTAACATTTGGTGATTGTGTGTATGTGTGTGAGATTTAGTATCTAGATTGACGATCTAGACACTGGTTTCATTTGTGCCCTGCCCATTACCAAGCACATCACCGTATTACGCCATTACATAGCCATCTCCCAAGAACCGTGATGGCTATGGAATATCTGTATACTGTGCCATACAGATTTCCACCAGGGTGTGTTCAGTATCAGTCCGTCTTCCGTATAATGGTTACTGACAACAATACAATATGGCAACAGCATGCAGCCCTATTTGTCGATGCACTGCACCTCATGGGCATGTGTGGCAACAAGGCTGACTAGTGAGCTTGCTTGCAATAACATCCGTTGGCATTGGGGATTCAGACTTGGTGGGATGTGCTTGTACTCAGACCAAAGCTAATTTAGATAACTACACGTCACTAATCAATGACACTGATGAGCCTCCAGGCTCTGTACACTCAGAATTCACGGATTTTACACACTAATTGCCGCTCCTGTCCACCCAACAGACTTTCAGTAAACCAAAGATTGCACACAAGCTCGTACTACTTTCATGTTATGGCAACCACTCCTCACATGCTTTGTTATCCATCCCATCTCGTTACACATCATAATTACCATATTCCATCATGGCAAGGCACCTTCGATTGCAAATCACCCTAAAACAGAATTGCTGCATCACTTCCCATCGGCACAGTAATGCGCCAATCAATCACTTAATAAAATGACATGATTGCTGTGGCCACTCATCCATCCATGATATTTCAAGCACACAGCCACTACAGACTGCGTTTACTAAGGCTGTTACTTCGCCAAGACCTGGAGAAGACATAGACCCAAGTGTGCACCTCAGTACAAAAGCCATACCGCACCAGTCCGCAGCTAAACAGCACCTAATGATCCGTTCATCGCTCCCAGAAACCATATGGTTTTCATCCATACGTGGAAACGTAGACAAGTTGCTGTTACTTTCGAAGTCGAGAGACCATATGTTGGCCACAGATTTTACTAAGCCAAGGCCTTACAGCCTTACTAAGTTGCACATACTTATTCTATTTATAATTTCATACTTGTAGTATAAAAACTAGCTAGAAAAATGTCATTTAGCTTAGCTTATCGTTAGCTTACCCCTATGCATCAAGTTTACACCACACATTGAGACTATCAACAATTCTGCTACATTTATTACCATTTACCCCAGCATATTCTTGAGTGCACGTCAATTCTTAAGCTTACCAGAGTTATTCCATGGTTTTTGACTGTGAAGAGTCGCTTGACACTCGCTCTTCACTCTTGACACTATTGGTACACACTGTTAGGGACGTGCCAAATAGAGTAAGATAGATTGCACAAGCAGAGGTCCGCGGAGTGTGCGGGCTTTGGCGAAGCTATTAGCAACATCACCCTTGAGCCAAAGCCCTTAAGTTGATTAGCAGAGCGGAGTCCGCGGAGAACGTGGAGTGGAGTAGGGAGTAAGAGATAGTCCAACGGAGCGGAAGCTGCGGACTTGAGAGCGATAGAATAGACTTTAGAGTCAGAGAGAGATTTGGCTAAACCAAATTGATATTCGAACTAAGGTAGCAACAAGTAATCCTACAGTTTATATACTAGTAAGTATTCTGAGTCAGAGTCCATCGGAGTCTGATGGAATCCGATAAAGGGTCTGTTCACTACCGAATTCGGGTTCTAGAATTAATATGTGAAATATGCAAATGAAATCGGAAATGAAATATCAAATGGAGTGCACAATATAAGTGGAGCAGAGCTCCGATGGAATCCGAAGAAATTAGATGTTGAAGTGACTTGTAATAATAAAGCAAGGGTCCATGGAGTCCGAAGGAGTCTGAAGAATTTGTAGAAGCGGAGCTCCGAAGGATTCCGAAGAATTTCACTAGTGAGGTTGGTGTGAAGTGGATGCCTCTGGCATGCACGTAACACACGCTCATATTGTGCCAATATGTGATTGCCATGCCATATCTTGTCCCCATTTATCTTTTATCAGCCGTTATCGTTTCAACTTCACCAGCATAGGATCGTTTCATGTTTTCACTTTCACCATCATATCGTTGCCCACTTGGGTAGTCTCTGAGCAGACTTAGGATCGTTTTCGCATCAGTATAGGACCAGTTTCAGCATAGTTTTCATATAGGACAGTCCCAAGAGTGGACTTGAAGGTTAGTTTTTGACATAGGATAGGATCGCTTCAGCACAAGACCAGTCTCGACATTGACATCAGTATTTCCGTATCGTTTAGGATCAGTACCCTGCCATCACCAGTATATTTCCATTCTTGCTCTCAGTATCATCGCCCAGTTTCCGTATTTCCACATTTATTCTCAACCCCACACCCTCAGTACTTCGTTTCACGTTCTCTCTCGACACACCTGGCCTCAGTTACACGTTTTTGCATCAATTCCCCACTTCCAGACCCAGTTTTACATGTTTATTTCTGTTCTCTTCACTCGCTTTGCTAGGATTGCCATCTAGCGATGTTTTCTAGTCTCTTCTCACATTTTTGCTTATGGATTCGTGGTATTCATGTCATACCTGATTCTGTTTCCTCTCATTTTGAGAGATCCTTACCGGCTTACAGCCAGAGCTACTAGTACTCGACTACCAAGCAGTACTACTTCACCGACTGAAAAGTCGCAGTGTATACTTATGTATAGAGGAATTGGTTTACTGCACGGAGGTGCCTCGAACCCACTCACACACATGATCACCTTGATTGCTGTGCTACCACGTTAATTATCCAATCTTGTTCCTGAGTTGGTGTTGCCATTGCCATGGAAGTCTAGGCTCATTAACACATAGGCCCTGGAGATCCGGTGTCACGCCTGCAGCGTGTCTAAGCGTGTAATTTTGCGAAAATCAATAAATTACACTTAGGCACTGTGTAGACTTAATGAGCTCGCTGACAGTGCAAGCGGCACGAGAAGAAGCAAGGTCACTGAGTCAGGATACCCTTCTGTCAGAAAAGAAGCCACAGAATTAAAAACATAGGACTTCGCTGCTGCACTGTACCTCACGGGCATGCACAGCAATGAGGCTGACTAGCGAGCTTGCTTGCAATAACATCCGTTGGCACTAGGGATTCCGACTTGGTGGGACGCGCTTGTACTCGGACCGAAGCTAATTTAGATAACTACGCGTCGATAATCAATGACGCATAGACCCTGGAGATCCAGAGAAGCGATACCACACAAGAGATAATCAAGAGAACCACCAGACATGGTCTAGAAACAGGCACCGGCCAAAGGGATTAGCGAGCGGACTAGAATTCCGATGCGTCTCTTGGTTACCGTGTCTAGACTATGACGCTGTCACCTTCGGAACAGAACAGAGAAACAAGAATGACGTGTGATCAATGATCATGCGTTAAACAGCTATTGAGTGCTAGTCTGCGGACAGCCCCTGCTGTCGGGCGAGCGATGTCGACACCGCCTAGTCCTTTGAGACTACCAAACAGAGAGAAAGCGGCGCTCTGCCAAGAGCGCTGTGACATTTCAGATGAGGAATTATCGGCCGACACAAAAAGTATTTACTAATAACCCGTTTGTAACAATCAATCTCTCGTAGTACAGCCTTGTCTGCTAGAATTCTACATGAAAGGTGTCAGTTGACACATAGTGAAAACACATCAGGAGTGTCAGTTGAAAATATTCAATTTCTTAGGATTATATGGTATATTAGTCAGCAGCCAAACTCATGACATCATCAAGAAATCCGGCAAACGCAGGAATTGAACCCAGGACCTTAAAAAAGTATCCATTAATATCATATGATTTTACTAAGCTGACATGCTAACCACTACACCACAATGGCATTATATATTTATGTATTTATGTCTCCATATACTGACTAAGCGCCTTCTCTAACAGAAAAGTGGGAGGCGGGCAGCGCCCCCACGCCACCAGCGACCTTATGTACTTATGTACTTATCGGGAATCGAATCCCAAACCAAAAATGACACAGCCACTCAGCATGCCACACACCAACTGAGCCATAAGACCATTTGCTTTTACATTGTCCTTACAGTATATCTCACGTTTATTCTCACCAGTTGTAATCTGCTGCAAAAGCTTATACTGCCTGGAATTCTCTCAATATCCTGTCAATACATACATTACAACACTACAATGGCCTCCTCATCTTCATTGTCCTCATCTTCATCCTGCTCCTCTTCACCATTCCAGATCCCTACATCCTCGTCATCTGATCCATCAGAATCGCCGTCTTTGTCTTGATCAGGCCCATCCCGGAGTGCTTCATTGGCCACATGTGCGTCATCCAATGCTGTCGACCAAAGATCTCGGAATGCAACAGCGAGGCGATGCTGTAAATCAGTCTGTACGGCTGCATAGGCATCCAGAGCTTTGTGTAATGCCTCATCTACATCCCGGGTGCCACCACGTTCCCTCCACCAGGTCCCTCGCCATTCCAAGAACTTTAGTGTTCTGCGCATCTCCTCCTGAAGTAAGAGCACCTCCTCCCGTGAACGATGCGCCCTTGCACAGCTGCGGCACCATTCGGACCGCAAGACCTCATCATTATTTTCATTGGCTCCATCGTCCAGGCTGATCTTTGCTGTCGTCCATATCCACGACAGACTGTGCCAGGTTTGACCCGTCCCATCACACTTTTCACGATCATCCTGGTGCAGTTCAATGCCTTGCTCAGGAGCATCGGCGCCGACCCTAGGCTCCCAGCTGTCCTCATTCATCCCCCGTCGACCCGTTCCTCGACGAAGACGATCCGGATCTTGATATGAACATATGTCACCATCCTCAAGCTTGCGCAACACCTGCTCCCAATCGCCCGAGCTGGCACACCTCAGCTTTGCCTCCCTCGCCCTGCGATACTTGACTGCAGCAGCTAGCGCCCGTTCGTGGATGGCGTCAATACCTGCTCGTGATCGTGTTCCATCCCGCTGGCCACGAATATTCTTGTTCTTGTACTCGACCATCCGCATTTTCAATCGCAATATGTGACGAATTGAGTTTAGGGCATCATGACATTGAGCTGTGTGGAGAAGCTCCTCCATATCTGACAACGATGTGTCGCAAACTTGACCATGACGATCCGCTGGTACACTTGATGGTAGCCAGAGTTTTACCCCCTCAGCCAACACACCAGATGACGAGTAATCCAACTCTTCAGATTCGGTGATGAACTGCAGCAGTCCGGGCATGTATATGGCTTGTAATTCTTCGAATTTCTTGACTTTCGATACTAGGAGGCTTCGTTGCTCGGCAATATGGGCATCTTGATTGGGGGTAGGGTTGGCCTTCAGCTTCTTAACCTCATGATGAAGCTTCTGCCTTGAAGATATTAGCCATGCAGATGAAGGACAAGAGATTTACGAACTGTGATTCCTCGATGGCGAAACCAAACTTTATAAAAGCGGACGGGCTCATATCATGGAGCACACGCCCTCCATTGTGCCTGCGAGCCTCCTCCTCTTCAGCCAGTTCCTTGTGGACCTCATCCTCCATCAGATCTAGCATTTTTCATGAGCAAGGCCAGGTTGGTGTAAAGATTACAAACGTACCATGACTCTGAACCTCGGATGGGTTGAATACCGTCTTCGGGACCTTATCTTCCTCCCACGTAGTGCAAGCATCCTCCCATTCGGTAACCATATCGGGCGGTAAGCTGAGGGTGAATCCCTTATGTGATTCATCTTGTCGGTTCCTCTCGGAAATCGCAGCCTTGTATCGTTTCCAGAGCGTCCGCCCTAATTCATTTCAGGGGATATTCAGGGCAAGTGGGATAATGAAACGCACCCATCTCGCAGTATTTGAGCCAATTCCAAAATCCCAAGTGGTCATCAATCAGATCCTGTCGAGTTCCGGGCCCTGCCGTCTTAGTAGAGTTTCCCAGAGCATTGTGAGCAGCCCATATCCTTTCAGGGCACTCTCCATCCGACAATCTGACACCAAAGACAAGGTTGAACGAAAACTGTTTGTGCCCCTCCTGTTTATGACCTGGCTCATGAAACTTGGGTACGACAGGGGTTATTCGGATATCGGGATTGAACCGCAGATTGGCGGGCCAATGAGAGGTCATGCATGTAAATATGGTCTTGATCCATTGGCAGGCGATATCGTAGCTGATGACCACCCAAAGAAGGTTGGAGAATTGCTGGATGGCTGCTGCGGCAAGGGGGTCAACGTTGGCATAACTTTTGGGGAGCAATAAGTAAGTCGACTCAGTTTCATAGCCATGGGGACGCACCGCTCTCCCTTGCTCATATTACCCACGCAAGTTGGTAAAACCATCTCACTCCTTCCGCAAGAAACGGCAACAACGCCCGTGTACCTAAGCCCCTTTGAAAACTTTGTGTTCGACTTCTTCATGGCAGAAAACTCCACGCAAGTGCTAATCTAAACCAAAATCAGCAAAACTGTCGTGAGATGGGAGAGATCACTGACGTCTGCATCTGTTGCCCGAGTCCGTACATAAGCCTCGTAGGGCTCACGCGCTGTAAGGTATGCCCAGCCAATTCCCAGGCCTGGATCCCTCGAATACGATGACACCATCTGGTTCTTGAGGCGAAAGTTGGCATCTATGCATATTAGTAAGAGGTATAAAACCTAGGTCAACCCGTTAGATGACAATAACAATTTTATCCCCAATAAACTCACTGCAAATGAGGCAGCGCTTGGGCCCAGTCTGGAGGAAGGTTAATACCTGGGCGGGGACAGGAAGGGCAGAGGACGGCAAGATCGCCTGGCTGTGTACCCTCTGGCCCCTTAACATCATGCGCGCGCCCACCCCTCTTCAACAATTTAAGGTGCCACCATTGAATGAGCATGCGCATGAGCGCCGTCCTACGCGATGGTGGTGTATCCAGCCCTGTATTATCCGTCATCTTCTCCAACGTGCGATAGAAGTGATAGGTAGAGGTTTTGGATACCAGGGAAAGGAGATGGAGCATCTCCAGCAATGGAAATGTCGCGCAAGTCTGGACAACTTTCTGGCTAGCAGGATACCATCCACACCGTAGGAATTGCTTGTACTGTGGAATTTGACGCTCGCAGCCGCAGTAGTCGATGGCGACATCATGTATGCCGGTGGTATGGAGAACCCGAAGCTTGGAATGGCAGGGTATGGGGTTTGGACACCGGAAACTCAGGTGGTTTAGCTGAACACACAGGCCGGTAGCCTTCAAGGTCGTTGGCACAAAATGATTATCAGCCCATCGCTGAACGGGAGCGAAGGTGCAAATAACAATTACATACCTCAATGCGATGAAACGGATTTTGCCAGTGCCGACGCACACAGCACGACGTGCATACCAAATCGTTTAGAAAGCAATCCTTGCATCGAATCTCTGCATCTCCCTGCCGCTCTTCCTCAACTCCTCGAGTGATACAATCTGGGCACCGCCGCGTTCGGTGGCTGTCACCTCGTCCATCATGGCGCGTCACTTCATCCAAGTAAATTGATCTATACTGCTCTTTCCAAACTAGATGCAGTCACCTCTGTAACAATTCGCCTCAACATTTGAGTAGGTTGATAAGAGTCGCTACTTATGGAAACTTTGGACCTTTTCTTGGATTTTTCAGCATCGGCAGGCTCCCCTCGGAAAATGCTGCTCTCAAAGACTTCCACATTCATCTCGTCGTTGTAAGCTTGCCCATCGGCGTCTAGTGCCATCTCATGGTTCTCTTCGAGGGTCCATGCACTTCCTAGTGTCCAACCGGTGATACCATGCATCGGCTTGGGTTGTGTGGCAATTCCATGCCCATGTTGATCGATTCGGGCTTCCCTGGAGTGGACGCTGTTGAAGTCATCATCAAATTTGATGCGATCGTGGGCGGCTGGCGCGGCTGCTGTACAACGGGCGCACTTGAAGTTGCTGGCCATTCTTGACAGGCGTGCTTGTGCTTGTAAAAAAAATGGACAACAAAAATGCATGTGACCTTCACCCTTCCCCTTTTGGCAACTTGCCGGATAAAACCTTTTTAAGGCATTCGCGCGCCGCCGTTCCCAAAGGTAGCTCTGTCCGGTCCGCCATATGAACATTGAAAGGAGTTAATGGGCACACCGTCAAGCATGAGCAACGCGAACCAAACAGTGCAACGTGTATATAAGACCTCAAGAAGTGGCATCCCACATCTTCCTCCCATTATGGCTGCTGATGTCCCTACTTTCGTGATGCCTGTGAACCGCGCAGTCAATGTTGCTCGACCTGGACCAGTTGTCTTGCCCGTTAAACTCAGCCATGTGGTGGAATCACGCCGGCTTTTGCAAACCCTCGAGAACAACCAAAGTGTGCCATTCTAGTACATTGATGGTATATGAGCTCATGATTCGTGTAGATATGGCAAGCGTCAACCCGGCGACGATGGAGGATGTCGCTAAGGCAGACGTCTATAAACACCGCATCCTCACAATGTACACAGCGAGTGAGTTTATCCCGAGTTCGACCTTATGTGGTCTTCTGAGGCATTCTACAGATAGACACAACGACGAGCGACCTACTTGGGCCACCAATTTAATCCGAGAGCTTGCTGACATCAAGAGGTCAGTGGCCCGGATCGATACCCTCAGCACCAAAATAGATGCCCTTAACGCGACGGTGACCGCGTTGAATAACTCAGCGCCTTCCATCACCGATGCGCTCGCTGACATCCGGCAAGACCTGCGCAAGATCACGGTGTTGACCGCACGGGTACGTTCCTTAGTATTCGGTCAACCAACAGTCTAACTTTGTGCAGACAAACAACATACACTGCCTGGATGGCAGCAACAGGCCCTTCGAACTCATTCCCCTCCCCAACGGGCACTACGCCCATTTACACCCAGACCCGGTAGGT